TATGTCTTGCTCTTGTGACTGCTAGAGGGCAAAAGTTTAACTTTACATTAAAGAGAGGAGGAAACAGATTGTTTCTCCTTTAGGTACAAAACCAAGTATTTACAATTGAGCGGAGAAGCGATGGGGTGAAATGAAAAATGAGACAGCTGGTCAGAGGTGGCATCTAAATTACTGGGTGTGCAGTCTGACGTACAGTAGGAGGGTAAACACGGCTCTGAGATTACTGCAGGCTCTTTTAGGCTCTCTTGAGTCTTGTATACAACAGTTTTCATTAAAAAGTAAAACTCCAGACGTGGCAGTAGAGTTGCAGCCCCAGTTTTTCCACTGCAGACGTTTTGACTTGTTGTAGCGGCAAGAACAGCAGCCCAGGTGAACTTCACAACCCGCTTCTTTCAGCTTTCCTGTAAAGCGGTTTGCAGAACAGCAGTGGGACCTCTCCCATGTGAGGCACAGCCATCATTACTCAACCTGTGCGGATTTTTTCTGCTGTTGAATGCGGAAACACCTGCTGTGCTGCAGACACATCGCTTTATCAGCAAATAACAGGTACACTGAAAACAACTTTGTAAAACATAGGGTCAGGAATTCACTAATCTCCATTATTTCATCTGGAAAATATTTTATAGACCGAGGCAAAGTTGTGTATAGCAGAGAAGCTAAAGGGAAGGGGATGAAGTTAAAAAGGAAAAGAAAAATGAGCGGAAAACATCTCCACAGTAAAACATGGAGGCGGGAGCATCATGCAGGGGAAAGTAAGATGGTTGGATCTGATGGGAAGATGAAAGGAGCTAAATATAACGTAATTCTGGAGCTTTAAGGTTCAAGAGATGGATTCAAAGTTTACCTTCCAGCAGGACAAAATCTAAATATGTTTTATAATGTTCTGGTCAAAATCTGACTGAATTTATTTTACACAGAAGAGTGTGCATAAATGTCTTTCTCTGGATGAGCTTGCAGCTGCAACTGCTGTAAAATATCCTGCACTCAAGAGCTGCTAAGCACACTTGCACGTCACACTTTTCTGACCCTTATTTAAGAAATAAAACAACCTTTTATATTGACCTCTTAATTATGGACTACTTAGTGTTGGTATGTCACATAAAGTTGCAATGAAATACCTTGAAGTATGTAGTTAGCTGGTGACAAAATGTGGAAAAACTTCAAGAGGCTTTAATATCTTTGGAAGCCAGTGTACGCCTTAAATCCCTTAGCCAATTTAGCACTAAACCCCCTCTGAGGGTAAAGAAAATCTAATTTCAGTCATATGCGGCTCCATCCCGCATGATAAAGGACTGCTTTCTGGTCTCTGTGCCCTTCCCAAGAGATAAACAGCCAAAAGGCAGGAAAACAGGTGGAGGGTGGAGAGTTCTATACGCGGCTTCATCCGTGCAAACCTGCAGACGTCAGGCCACTCCAAATCCAGCACCGGATATGAACCATGATCCTTTTCATTTCCTGCACCCACCAAAAATCAAACCCTTTCACACACAAGCACCTGAGATGTCTCCCTTCACTCGAGCCGCATTTCTACCTGCAAGCGTGTTTATACGCTTGTGTGTGTGAAGGAACTTTGTGCTTCAGGAAAGCGAGAAGGACCCACTTCCTGTGTCAAATTGCCTCTCACATTCCACACTCTCCCACAATCCGCCTCACTCTGGCTATTTTCTCCCTTCTTTCTTCCTCCTTCTATGTTTCTTCATCTCTCTATGGGGGGCTTTGTCTAGCTATCAGAGGCACAAAACACTGATTCATTCAGGGAGTTAAACATGATCCTCAGGAACACACCATAACGGGCGCTTGTTGAGGAGGGACAGGGCTGGCGAGAACAAGCATTTGGCAGTGGGTATTCGGTACTTCTGAGCCTCCACACACACAAATCCAGACAGATGGACAGTCACGGCTCTCATGACGGCAAACGGATTCACACACACATAAATATACTGGCCATGCGTGGGGCACAGATGTCTGTGGGAAAAACCAGCCTCCCATGTAAATCACAGCATCCCGGATGTGATGTAAATAGTTGGATAACAGGAAATGACCACAAAAGACATCACTCTGGAGACGTCCACAAACAAAGTCAGCTGCTTTAGAGGCAGGAGGCACTTATTATAGAAGATCCTGTCAGCAAATGCATGTGATAAAAGATAGAGTGCGTGTGTGAGTTTTCAAGACCAGGGTTACTCTGGGTGAGCCCGGTAGGTATCACACCTCTGACATGTTCGTGAGTCACCTATTAAAGCAGCACCTGCACCTATCTGTGTGCACTCAGACTCAGCGTCACTCTGAGCGTGGAAGTGTGTCACACCTGCCTCCATCTGCTCACTTAAAGGCAGATTAGGTCGGCAGGAGGCCAAGGATCTCTGGCAAAGATTACAGTCGACTGATCCAGTGGTTGTCTGTGTGTTTGTAATGTCAAAACGTTAGACCAGAATCGGCTAAATCAAAGGTCACCATTACCAATAAGGTAACTCTTGTGTCTACTTGAAGTCATAACAGATAAGACAGATCGATCCATCAGTTAGAAGATTAAATTAGCACTTTTTAAATAAATCCCCAAGTACTTCTAGAAAAAAGGTTTTGCGTATACTCGCAGGTTCCACATCGTTAGACCATGAACGACAAAAAAAAATTCTCATGTACCCCTTTTCCACTGGCCGAAAAATCTGTTTAAACCCGGGAACAATCGGCTTTTCGTGGCAGTGGGAACAGCTCACTGATGTGTCTCTACCCGGGTCAAACCATTTAGCAAACGATCCGCGCTCAAATCGCATCGGCTCTGATCGGCATGCAATGGGAACACCAGAGTCTGGGTTGAACCACTGATTTACGTGACACCACTGAATGCAACGTAAGGATGTCAATCCACTGCTCCAGCCACGTCTGATCTAACAAGCCGTTAAACATGGCGCAGCACTGGTCAGTGGTTTGGAAAGATAATTGAGTGAAACAATAAAACATACCGACTTCGCCCTGGCTTTATTACATGTGGCTCTCCAATGTTTACTTTAGTGATTTATATTGTACTGGTGAAATCATAAACATTAACCCAGCATGGTGTCACCAGACATGCAGCTATGGTGGGACAAAGGCCATGCAGCTTGCCAGTGAGGGGTTAGACTCTGCTTTTTTAGCCAATAGGAAGAGAGCTGAATGCCGATCGTTAGCAGGTCGACCAATGTTTGAAAAACACGTATTAACCCGGTATTTTCCATGGAAAAAGAGGATATACTAACCTTTAAAAAAAGGATATTTATTAAAGAAAATCTCTCACACTTATTAATTTAGTGGGATAAGCAGCAATTATATTAAAAGCACAGGTAAGGGAAAAAACCATATCAACTGCTTTCAGAGGGAGCCTTCAACACGCTCAGAAATATAACCAGATTTTCAAAAATGCTTTATTTGCCCCTTTTTTGTTTTTCCTAGATCAAATGTTTATTATTTTCTTTGCTTTGTAGGTAGGTATTGTTATGAACATGAAAGGAAATAGTCATAAAGATGTTGTCAATCTTTATAATATGACTCACTTCCTTGGGAGTCAACCCCATGTTTCCTCAAAGCAGATAATGAAACGAATAAAGATTACTTTAGATTAACGGATGACAAAATATATGAAACACCCCTTGTCTGGCAGAAGTTTTGAAGTCGTTATTAAAGAGACAAAAGGTGCAACATATGAACAGGCAAAATGACAAAGCCTTAAAAATTCTAACTGTAATAATTTTCATCTTTGGAATGGATAGGAATAAGGAACGTGTATGGATTGACATATTAAAGTGTTCTCTCTAAACTATTGACTTTTTTTATTTTAATTATGTATTTGTCTTGGCATCTGCAATTTGTTTTGTTTGTATTTATAAATCAACACCTTTGGGGAAGGAAAATGTAAACAATTTATAAAATTCTGTAAAGAAATGGTTTATGCCTTTACCAAATAAAAAAACAAAACAAACTCTAGACAATAAAACTATCCTTTTGGATTTGAAATTTGCTGAATGAAAAATTCATACTTAGTCCATCGTTATTTTTGTCATCTATTATAATTTTTTTTTAACTGGTATAAAGTGAAGGTGTGTGTGTGAGGGGGGACCCTGCACCTGGACGCCCTTCATGTAAAAACCGCCCCTGCGTTAAAGTGCAAAGCTGCTGCAGACATGAAATAGCTTATGCATTTTGTTTAAAAAAAAAAAAAAAAAAGTATTAAAGGATTTAAAACAACCAGGAAACGTCCAGTCTTCCTATCTGTGAAAGCATTTTTCCTTTTTCAGGTTCGATTATTTTTAGTCTCCCTGTTTGCTTTTCTCTCAATGATTCAGCTCTGCCCCCACCACCTCCTTCTGCTCGTGGGATATATCAGGATTAATCGGTGGTGGAAGGTGTGTGTTGGGGGGGAGCGCGTGAAGCTCGGTGTGGAGGTGGTGGGGGCTCGCGCATCCCAAATCAGCTGCCGTCCTCGCGGATCCCGATGACATCATTCCATCGGAGCTCTGGTCCGCGCGCCGCATCGCAGATAAGTCCCCCCCCCACTCTATGTTCCACAAGTACACGATCAACGCAGGGGGGGGGGGTTACCAGGTTCTGGCATCCGGACGTCTGATCATTCCTCCCCCCACCCCGCGCGCCTCACATCCACCTCGCCGTCCCACGGAGCGACTTCATGGGAATAAAGTGGCCATAGGCGCAGTGTGCGCCCATTAACGCCAGGATGTGAGCCGGAGAGCCAGACAGCACCGCGCGGCTGTAATCAGCCCCAATTAGAGATAACCCGCTAATTACCGACGCGCACACACGTGCGCACACTCCTCCTGACTCAAGGGAGCAAAGCCACGATAAAACCCCGACACTGAGACACAAAGGGCGGTGTGGGTGAGTGCGTAAAAGCTGGGGGGTGGGGTGCCAATATGTAGGTCGGGTGCAGGATTTCCTACCGATCATCTCCTGGATGATAACACTCACACATACTGGGAGGACGGCACATGAGGGTAACAAAGGCTTACCGTGGCGGAGTGAGCGAGGAGCGCGCTGAGCGCCAGCAGCCAGGGCAGCTTCATGGTCGGTGTTTCTGCGGGCGCAGCCTCCCGGTGCCGCCGCTGCTCCCCTCTTCCAGGGAGGTGGAAATAAGAGTAGAAAGCTACCGTTCCTGCCTTTTTTTTTTTGTTCTGGCTCCCGGGGGTCTCAGTATAGTCTATCCAACTTCAGATGTGACCATCAGTCCTTCAGGTCCCAGCCTCCTTCTAAGGTAACGCAGGGCCTCCCTCTGCACGCGTCTCCTCGGCAGGTTGCTCCAAATCTCTGCTGCACGGGGCCGATAATTTAAGAATCAGGAGAGGAGCCAGACCAGCCTCCCTCCTTCTCTCTCTCTCTCTCTCGCAGTGAGACTGTGCGCACCTCCTTCTCTCTCTCCTCCCCCTCTCCGCTGAGCGCAGGATGTTCCGTATGGCGACGTTGCCCGGCCTTGGAGTTTGGCAGGGGGGAGGAGGAGGGGTGTGTAGCCCGCGTGTGTCTGTTTCAGCTCAGGAGAAGATTAGGGAACCTCTCTGGGCAAAGCCAATGATGCCCCCTGCAGCTGGTTTAAAACACAAGCAGCCTTTAAATATCCAACCTGAACAACATGCATGAGAGGAGATGACTGCTCACACAGCTGCCACACAGCACACTGGGCCTTTTGTGTTGCTGTTCCACACCTTTAACGGACAGCTGCTGTGATTGGCCGAGTCACCGTGATGTCACAACAGTTACCTTTAAAAAAAACAACAACAAAAAAAACAGCCACCTGGTCTGAGATAAGGTCTCCATAGCCTGTTGTCTCTATTTCTGCTTATTAACTGCATAATAAACCATGTTTGAGTTTAATCTGCCCACCCTGCTTTTTTAATAATTCCTCCAGATCACTGCTATCTCCTTTTACCAAATTAATTTTCACAGTTGTGCTACAAGTTTAAACTGACATTCATCCAACCCCTAAGGAAATATTGAGACTGATCCCTTCAGAAATATTACCTATAATCTGAAAAGATGGAAGCTTTTCATCGTAATAAGAATATTTAAGGGGAAGAAAAAACATAAAGGTCTTCTTTAAAGAACTTTATTTGGGACATTGATAGAGAATGATACCTATAAAGTTTGCATCAAAAACCTTTACAACCTTTACTGTAATAAATATTTCAAAATGACATGCATGTTGGAATATTGGAACTTTCCTTACAGGTTTCCTGAAAGCTGGAAGTAACCTTTACAAATAAAACATTCATGAAACAAGAGACTCTATCATGTTTCATAATCAACCTCTGCAGGCATGGATTCTTGTCAAATGTTGACCAATCATATCCTTCATGCTTATCTTTTGGAAACCTTTGGAGAAAATTCTCTGAATGAATGTAGCATTTCCTTTAAATGCAACATCCAGCAGATCTTGGAGGCGATGCAATCTGCACAATGCAACATGCAGTGAGCCTTTTAATAATGTTCTTCTTGTTCACAAATAAAAGAGAGAAATTCAGCAGAGATAACCTTCACAGGACCTTTGGGAATCATTACCAGCAGATTCACTGAAGATCAGAAAAGTCTTTAAATCCGGATTAAGTTATTTGAAAGTGCAACTTTTAGGTTAGCAGTTTCCTGCAGGCTGGGATTTAATTTTGTCTCTCAAACTTGAAAAGTGTATTTTTTATTTTCAATTAATTAGTTATACAAAGAGCAAAAACATAATTAAAGACTCAGACTGCAAAAGATAAGGAAAATGTCAACTACAAAGACACAATAAAAAAATTGTTACAAAGAGATAAATCCTCAAATTCTACAAGGGCTTAAAAAACAAATACCAAAATAATTATTTTTTATTTATTACTAATTACTTGTTTAAACATTTGAGCCTATATATATTTTGCAGTTGCTTCAAGTTATGTTTTTTATTTCATCCATATGTTCTAACTAAAACCTGATCATATACACTTCCCTCGAGTGATTCAATCAACAAGGTCCACTTCTCGGTATTAACAACTGATCATTAAAGCTATAAATAGTAAGGATGTCTGTTCTTTGTTGTTTTTTCTGTGTATATCTTTTAATATTTGTAAAGGGTGTATGGAGGGGCTGAGAGTAGCTGGAGATCAAGGAGAGCTAATAACTCAGTAATAATTCAGAATCCCCAGAAGAAGAAAGAAACCAGTGCGGTTTTAAGTAAGGGATATAAAACAGGTAGATCAAGGGAGTAGTCAGCAGTTAAACAATAGAAATAATGGCTGCACTTCAAAGGAAAAACCCTAAAAACAAAACTGTTTGTGTCCTTAGATGCAATCACCAGAGCGCGGGGGTGAAGTTATCACCAATCTGCTATACTAACCAATAATTAGCATGAAGAACCAAGGTTTTATGGACCTATGAGATGCAGAAACAAAGGGAGTAATCATCATGGTTTGGGCTTATGTGTTTGCTTCTAGCATGTCTATTTTTTTTTCCGTATAGATGATGAAACGAGCGATAGCAGCAACTGAAATTATAGGATAAGGAAAACTATTTTTCCAACTTAAAGAAGGGTTGACTTTCTTTAAAACATTCCATCTGCTGAAGAGGAAACTGAAGGAACTCACACTCCAAAATAAGCAACAACCCTACATTAGCAGTCTTTACTTAAAGCAGTTGGTTCTAATTTCTGACCATCTTCATATTTTTTAGAAAAATAACCCTATTCCTGTCTGGAGCAGCAGAGTCGCCCCCAGCCCAATGTTCAGACAAACATCTGGATCGCTGTGAACAAAAGCCGGACAGGTCAGAACAAGTCAGACTGTCGTAACCATGTAACTTAAAGACCACAGGAGGGCTGATATGTTTCCACAGATACCTTCTATCACCCAACAGCCTGAATGTTTACCGTCATGCTTCCTGGAGCCCATTAGTTCAATCCAAACTCTAAGCAGAGCAATAACTGGAGCCTGCATGACTCATCTTATCCCTCGTGTCATCGTTCTTCCTCCACTTGTGATCGTTGAATGATCTGGAGCTGAAATAATAGACCCTGCTGGTGGTACATGAGTTAAATGATTGTTTAGTTGGGGGGGAGGCTCAGCGTTGTCGCCTGTCAGGAGGGCCACATTAGGGCGCAAGCCTCATTAATCAGCCAGAGCATCAGCAGAGCACCTTGGTCATCCGAGCCACATTACAGCGACAGACGACACCTGGGAGACTTTTAAAGCCCTATGTTGGATCTATTTTCAAGAGGGTTTATACGTGAACCTAGCTGAGGGATTTTAAAACGACAACCAGGTTAAAAGCTTTGGATTTATTATGGATTTACCAGTTATAAGACAAGAGGAAGAATATATTCTTCACTTGTTTTGCAGGAGTATACTGCTAATCAATCTGATCTCATGCTGAATGGACTCAGTAGTTTTTACTATTTTATCTTGTGCTTTTATGAGGGCCATTAATCTATTTTGAAGTCTCTTGAAGAGATTAAAGTCATGCATCATTCTCCTCATCTTTTTCTAATTTTCTTGTGAAGAACTCTGATTGGTCAGCTTTGTGCTCCTGCTGCAACATTCATTTTTTTTCCAAGTTTCAAGCATCGATTTCCGTGCACTTAAAGGATTTACTTGGGAGTGGCTCCATATATTTTAAAATTCCATCCAGTTATTACAATGCAACTGCGTCACTGGTAGTCAAAGGGGCCCACAGCATAATACCACCACTTTGCTCTATTGAATCACCATGAATCCATCAGAGTTGCTTCATGTTTTGTGGCCAGACAGTTAATTGCATGTCTTGTCGGGCTATAAAACAGTTCTGCAGAAGGCATTCAACTCATCCATCTGGTCGGCTGCTGATCTAAGTCAAGCTTAAAGGGCCCTCACCCCCAGATAAAGATGAGTTTGCAAAGTAAGAGCCTAAACACGCTATTAAATCTGACTTCTAATTATTTTTTTAAATGCCTCTATATCTGTACCAAACACATTGTAAAAGCCCAAGAGGGATGCTTAAAACTTCTGATTTTTAGAGATTAAATATCCAGCCAGATGTTTTCAAGTGGCTATAACACACAGGGGTTAGGTGTTACTTTGTTAGACTTGGACAAACTTTTTAATTGTTTAGGATCTTTTATTGCTGATGCAAAATCATGGGTAATTCTAGACAGCGGCCACATGTAGAGCTGTTCTTGGCCTCTGTACAGAAAATTGTACAAAATTTAAATGCAATTCCATTTTTTCTTAAAAATAGATGTATATTATATTGATTTAAGCAGGTAGAGAAGATAAATTTGCTGATAGAATAAAAAATACTCAATGAAGGGCAAATTCACATATTTTAAGAAACTTAACTTTTTTAGATCAGTCTTAGCAGTATGATACTAAATCATATTGATACATTTCCTCTTTAATACTTTTTATAACCAATTAGAAATTACATGTTTGCGGCTCACTTAGACTAAAAAAAAAAAAACATGCTCTTGCTTGCTTATTTTTTTGCCCTCATGAAAAATCAAGGTCAATTTAGTCTAGAACCACCACTGTGCAAACTTCACAATGTTAGCTTTTTCCCCATCCAATCTTTCCTTTTAAATAAGCTTAAAAAGCTCAAAATGAATAATTCCAGCACATTTTAAGAAACTTTCAAACATGCAAAATGAAACACACTAGAGACTGTGAAATTTTCAAAGTTTTTTTTGTTTTGTTTGGTTTCAAAATAAAGATCACACAATTGTTTAGAGACAATCTACAACAGGAGTTACAAAAAATAGTTGCCCAGGCAATAAGCATACACAGGTTCTGTTAACTATACACATATGGTTACAGGTGTGCTCGTAGTAAATATACACAAGGCTGCTCCAAATGTACACCGCCGCCGTGGCGGGACGCCTCTCTCTTACCCAAAAAACATGTATGATACAGCACTTACAGCACTAGAGAAAAATGCCAAACAAAAAACACAAGAATCTCTTCTGTACAATCCACGGATTTACCCCAGAAATCAGTGATGGGGAACTGAAGAGTCGGGCGGGCTTGAAAGAGTAAAATTTCATTCCCCATCCCAACCAGCATACCGATGCACAAAAAAATCATGGGGTAAAGCACTCCTATAAAAAGATCATTTAATAAAAAAGAAAAAAAAAAGAAAAAGAACCTTCAACATAAGCCAGAAGACACCACTAAGTCAAACAGAATGTGTCCAACTGGGAGACAGTGGGAGACCGAACGTCTTTAAGTTAAGCAGTGACATGATAATGATAAAACCGAGCGTGGCGAATCTTTGTACAAGTACTACGCTGTATAGAAAGGGCTTTTCAAAACAAAAAAATTTGATATTACAATTTACAATATACAACAACTCATATGTCACAACCAATGAGGTGAGAATATACACTGAAATGCACAGATTATTTTTTCTAGTGATTTTTTTTTTCTTTTTTTCATCTCATACCAAAAAAGGGTGGTAAAGCACTTACATTACAAGGGTTTACAAATGTACAATTATACAGTCAGAAGTATGTGGTCACTACTAGGATACATTATAGATACAGATTCAACATCAAAAACCAGAAAAAACTACAAAGTTTTATATATATATTTATATATATATATATATATATTTGCAAAGGTCTACACCAAGTATACACGTTATATTTATAGAAGCAAGACCAGAAAAACAAATCTCCCATGCTAAATGATCTGTCTGCTGGTTAAGCTGATGGCATGTGTGGATTTGTCTATGATTCTGTGATGTTGGACAAATTAAATACTCCATCTCATAGTGGTAAATATCTTCACTGCGCTGAGGTGGAGGAGGATGGGGAACCAGGATTGTGTTCAGCAGTAGCAAAAAAAGTGAATGGTTTGAGTTCATTTGAAACAGCAAAATAAAGAAAAAAAATAAAAAGAGGGGTTTAGAGTAACAAAAAAAAAAAAAGAAGGAAAGAAAGAAGAGGGGATCAGGTAACGCCTCTCCATCATCCATCCCCGTCTGTGCTGCATCCCCGACTCAGCGGGGGGAGGGGTGGCAAATAAAACAATCCAAGGCCGCCTGCCGTCCTCAGAGGAGGGGGTTTTGAAGGGTCAGACGGGGGCAGCCGAGGTGGAGCTGGTGGTCCCAACAGCTTGATGAAGGTTAGCCTAGAGGGCGGGGGAAGGGATTTCAGGGTTGGAGGAGGCCTCACATGATGCCGTTAGGAGGACCGCAGATAGGACCCAGATCCACGCCGTTCTTCATGTAGTACTTCTCCAGCTTGGCGAGGATGTGTTTTCCATATGTGTATTTCCTCAGGGTCTGAATGTGGGGCCGGATCTGAGCAGGCGGGGAGAGACACGCCGCAGTTAGTCACACTGGATTTATGAGACACTCATTACAGTAATGTGCTCAGACCCCAGTGGGCAAACCAGGACCTGTGAGTGGGCAGCTGAGAAACACACATCTTTTCTTCCCGTATGTCAGTGAGTAGACCTAAACTCACCATAATAAACATTAAAAGGCGGAGCCTCACCAGCCCGCTTTATTTGTGCTTCTTTTGAACTACCAAAATCAAAAAGGGTCTTTCTTCACTCACATGTTGACAAAAGGGAAACAATAATGTTTCAACAGTTTTTACAGACCACTGTGGGCACTTAAGTGGAAAACAAAGTTTAGTTTCATTCAGGGGAAGATTAACCTACATTAAACCCCATTTTACACTATCTGATCCATTTCTGCTCACTATCTAGAACTCACCTAGTTTAAGAAGCTCTGGTGAAATTTAAAACCCTGATCTAAGGGGCTCTTAGGGCCAAACAAACAAACCATTTGTTTTTAAAATATCAGTGGGTCCTTTCAGTAATTTAAAACAAATTTCGATGTTGCAAATAAATGTTAAAACACATTACAATATCAAAAAAAATAATAGTTTTCATACACTTTTTTCCCCGAACCCATTCAGACCTGGAAGATTAATCAAAATCCATAATGTGTAGTAAACCTCTAATAAAGACTGGCCATTTTTTAATAAATCAACTGGCAGCTTTTAGGAAACTGAATGAACGTAAGAATAAACAGCAACAAGAGATTTGCGGTCACTGTGAGCCCCTAAACTGATAAACTGGCTTTTAATGAAAGGATTCTTACCATAGATTAACTTAAAATACCTGCAAAAGTCTAAACTGGATTAATGGTTAAAGTTTCTTAAAACATAGTCTTATATAGATATAGATTTATAAAATGTATAAATATACAAACAAGAAAGCTTGTTAGTATTTGAACAATCTTGGAATTAAATGATCATAACGTAGGGATTAGAAGTCCCCGAGCCGTTTACAGTTTTATCTGGTTAAAGACCTGGTAATTGTTTACAAAACAAAGATCCTGTGAAAACATTTCCAAGTAATAGTTTTTAAAAACCTCTAGGCATAATTTCCTCCACAACACCTAGTAGCCCACAAGCTACTACTACTGAGAAATAATTAGGGAGGAAAATGAATTAGTAAATATTAGATTTATAGAATGAACACAAAAAAATAAGAATAGTCTAAAATTAAAATCAGGCTTTAAAGGTAATATTAAAGGATTACTACTTTTACCAACCTTATGCATTACGATTTTGCGCTGTGTGGGTTCAGCCACGTCGATCATCTTCTGCACCACGTAGTTGGCATACTGGTCCTTCATCATGGTGTATAAGGCACTATGGGGACCCTCGGTCAGGCTGCACACTTCGTCTATCAGCAGAGCTCGTTCTGCCCGAGACGCGTGGGTCACACACTTTTCTACCACATTGCTGAGGGAGACGCAATAACAGGATGATTGTTAGGATGACCTTCATGACTTTTCCCTCCAAAAATAAACAAATGTTATAATTAGCCATTAGAAAAAAAAGACACTTCGTACTTCCTCTTAACTTTCCCACAGTGTTTGGACCCAACACTATGAACAGCCAGTTTCTTGAGTAATTCACACTACTTCGGTTAATTTTTAAAACAAACTCCCCACAGATGTTATAGGAAAACTAAGAAAGTTTTTCCTTCCACTAAACTTTCCATTAAGGTGTTTGTCCATAAAACTCTGAACAGATAGCTTTAATGGAATTTAAGATTTTTTTTTTTTTGTTTTACAACATTTCAGAATAAAAATTAGTTACCTAATGGGACTTTTATAAGACAACCTGGTCCAAATTATTTTCAGACATATAAATAAGTCTTTCCAACACATATAATTGAAAATCATACCAGAAGTTTTTGTATTAAATCAAGACAATTTGTGCTACTGGGAGCGAAAGAACAAAGTGTTGTTGGTGCTTAGACTAACAGGCCCCAACAGAGAATGATAAAACCCTCAAGGCCAAATAAAAAAACTGACATTGTTAAAGGGGGAACACATTTTCAGGTATGGCTGCAATTAGAGAAATGAAATGAAAGGAAAACCTTTACAGCACAACATGCAAAGCTGACAGCAGAAAACGTGCACAGGCATCTGTTGGAATTTTTTACCTGGCAAACTTGTGCTGGCTCAGTCCCAGTACGTTGCCTCTTATTTCAGCCACGATTTTGCTCTTATCCTCGGCCCGGCCGTGCTCCAACACGTGCTGGATTACGTAGTTTCCATACTGGTCCTGAATCAAACAAACCGCAAATACTTTCAACCAAAGTGAGAGGAGGACAGCTGGTGGGTCTGACGTCACGTCAGACGATCGCCAGCTTCTGTAAATCTGGAGGCTCAGAGAGAAGAGCTCGTTTGAGGATCGCCATGGCAGCCAATGTCGCTCTGTGTGTTTTACCTGCACGAGCTGCTCTGTGTGCTGATGGAGCTCCTCCAGTATAGGCAGCGTCTGTTCGGGAAGGCAGTGTTCGAGAATACGCTGGATGACTCGGCAGCCGTATGGGTGAGTGGAGAGGGCAAAGACCTGCAACGGGAATAATTATTCATCATTAGTTACTTCCCGAACAAACACAAAAGGTGAGGTGAGTCAGCATGAAGCTGATGTTCTTTTTCCAAATATCTTTCCATGCTCTCTCTCTCATAACAAACCCAACCCTGCAGGGAGAAAGGTGAAACATAATTCGTTCTCTACCTTCAAGCATCATAAACAAATCTTACCCACCGAGCAGAAACTATGCAGTTACACAATTCCTACATGCAATGCAACAGAAACATCATTCAATGCCATGACTAATTTCTCACAGGGAAAAGCTCAACCAGCTCCTGAAGAAGTATTCCCAAAGACTTTCCTACGTCTTCCTAGCCAGGTTTTTAACGTTAACTAAAAACTAACTGAAAAATTTAATATACTAATGAAATCAGAATTTTAAGAGAGAATGTGCTTAGTTTTCATTTGTCCAAGTCTAGTTTCTAAGATCTGTTCTTGCAGTACCACATTATGCCAGCAGATGGCAGCTGTGGCAGTCAGGTAATTTGTGTCCTGTTACATGAAACACTACAACTATAATAAATCTAAAAGTTTTCATGCCTCGATTAAGTTACTGGAGAACAATAAGGCCTTAAAGTTTTCAGACTTGATAGCAATATACTTAAGTTAAACCCCTGTGTTTTTAATTTAATTTTCTTTCTCATTCTTTTATATTGTTTCTTTTACTGAAAGAAAACTGTTATGGATAGCATATGTTCAATTGTACGTTTCTGGTTTTCTGTAAGTGTTTTTTTGGATTTCTGAAAATAAAAGTTAAATAAAAAAAATAAAAAAATAAATATATATATATATATATATAAAAATCTAAAATTAAAGTAATTTGACAGATACACAGGTTCCAGGGATCTGATTTGTTCATTTGTAGACCGTACAATGCAGACTCAGGACATTTGAGTGCAGGAAGCACATGTAAGACCCGGTTTGTAACAATGTGTCAAGGGTTTAACTTTTCCTTAGAAAAATACTTACAAAGAAATAGAATATAAAATCAGAAGTCAAAATTAAATAATAATGAAACCTAATGCATATTTCAAAACTATTTGAACTGTGGTGCCTGGAAAGAAAAATTACAGCTGCAGGTCTTTCCAGCTCTGCCTCTACCTGCTGTTTACATCTACAGACTGAAATGTTTCATCCTATTGCTTTAACAATCAACCCCAGAACATAATACAGCCCAACCAGGTTTCATCACAAGGATGATGTTTTAAAATTGGGACAAAGAGTTCAGGTTATTTATTTATTACGTATGTTTTTTTTTTCATAGTTTGGCCAGCAATGCGCTTTATACTGGAGATATTTTTGAAATTATTAACACGTGATTATATCATTTCACATGTTATCTTCACATTAAACCGCAAGAGGGAGCTCTGGGCCTTTGTTGATCATTTCAACATTGGCGTTAACTTATAAAAACAACTGAGAAGGGCTTAACAGCAATGCCGCTGAAAAGAAAATCATATTCTGTTAATTACAAGCTGCAAGTAGAAAAATATGCAGTCGAAAACAGTAACTGAAATGAGCCGCCCACTGCTCCCCAAGGGGATGGGTTAAATGCAGAGAGAGAATTTTATTGTGCTGTACTTCTAACAGTGTAATGACAATAAAAAGCTGGGTTTAAAAACGAAGCGACAGAGGATGAAGATTTCATTGGATTTAGTCATTTTGAGTGACACGGATGGTTTGATAAAATTGTTAGCATGTTATTTAAGCTATAGTGATCTGAATAACTCTTAATATGTAAACATACCAGGTTTTCAGTTCATTGTTTATGTTTCAAATAACAATCATTTAGCCTGCTGTTGCCTCTATTCAAGTTTTTTTAATTGCCTTTCAAGAGGTCAGGTCTGTTCTTGGTGTTGGATTTTATCAAAGAAATTTCCCCCCAAAATGCATCTGATTGTCCACTTTCTATCACACTTATCCCATCAGCAGGGTCGTGAGGGGTGCTGGTGCCTATCTCCAGGTGCTAAAGGGTGAGAGGCGGGGTACAACCTGGACAGGTCACCAGTCCATCGCAGGGCAACAGAGAGACAAACAGGACAAACAGCCATTCATGCACACACTCACACCTAAGGAGAATTTAGAGAAGCCAATTAACTTAACAGTCATGTTTTTGGAGCGTGGGAGGAAGCGGGAATACCTGAAGAGAACCCATGAATGCTCAGGGAGAACATGCAAACTCCATGCAGAAAGACCCTGGGCTGGAATTCGAACCCGGAACCTTCTTGCTGCAATGCAGCAGTGCTACCCACTGCCCACTGAGCAGCCTATATGTCTTTTCTTTCTTTATTATGTATTTTATGGCTGCTGCAACTTGTACTCCAGAGCAACTTATAATCCAGATGTGTATATCTTTTACCATAGGCCTCTTTGCGTTACCAGTTCAGGTGGATGCATCATTGGGACGATGTTTTAATTTCTCCACTTTATCTCTGAAGCTACTTTGGTTATTAATGTGGCTGTTTGTAAACAAACACACCACTAATTAGTCCAGTCACTTTTATTCAAGGTTCTAAGAGTAAAGGGGGTAGATTACAAACATATATTCAGAAATATGCCTTGTTAAGCTTGAATACAGACCTGTTACAGTGACACTGTTAGTTAACTAATAGAATCATTTATTATTTCCTTTAACATTTTCTTTTAAGAAAACCGCTAACTTATTGATGTGAGCTTTGGAATTATGTGTGTTTGGTGGTCAGACACTAAATGAACTAGGATAGACTGTAAGGTAGGACCTACCTGTCCCTTAAAGGCTTCAATGATGAAGTGCAGCGCATGAGGTTGGACGCATTCAATGCACTTCTGCACGACGTGGTTCCCGTTCTGGTCCTTCACACACTTCAACACGTGGCCGTCGAGCTCGCGCACCATATCGCTCTGCAGGGGAGGGGAGTGTAAATGTTAGTAATCAAATACATCCTGAAGGCATTTTGCAGGCTCTAGTGTGGCTCAGTGCCCAACAAATAACCCTGGACTTTTAACAGATGCCCTACTGGGAAATCTATTGGGGTCCATTAAGGAAAGATTGATAGTCATTTCTGTTTTCCCTGCTCCCAAACACTTTTCTAAAAAAATAAAAAAATATATGATTTGAGTGAATGTATATCCTGCCAAGAATTGTCTAGATACCTGCAGTTCTACATTTGCATACAAACAGAGCCATCACTGGTGTGTGTGCGAGGAGCCTGCTGTTACCAACAACATCAACCCCATACAGAAGATGAAACATGCTTTCAAAGCAGGCAGGCACGCACACCTCTCAACACTGATCTACGAGGGACCCTCGCCCCTTTACATCCAAACAGTGAAGCAGGGGATAATAAATATTCTTTGAAACTGGAGCACCTGGATGTTAATCATTATCCCCTTTCAGTAAAACAAAAAAAAAAAACACAACAACAAAAAAAACAGGGGTAGTTGAGTGCAACAGTCAAAGAAAGGGAGGGGTTGTACTTACAATGACCTGCTGATCTGAGGGGATGAACTCCAGAGCTTTCTGGATGACCCTGCAGCCATACATCTGCAGGGCCAGAGACAGAACGTGACCTCGGATCCTTTCAGCCAGAGCAAGCTTCTGATCCAAACTCCCAAACTGAAAGAAAACAAACCCGTAACTCTTCCCTTCAAATTTATTACACCGTGCATCAACCCCCGATGAGGGTGTCTGATCTTCCCTACAAACCTCAAAGAACTTCTGGATAACGTAGTTTCCAAACACGTCAACCATAAGCTGATAGGCTGCCTGCAAGATCTCACTGAAAACGAGCTGGCGCTCTGCTGAACTGGCTCGCTCCAATTTCAGCTGGATGAACCTTTAGAAATGTAAAAAAATACAAACGTTAAGGATCGAACACACAGATGTACTTGTTGTCTTCATCAATATTTCATTCTCTGTTTGCCTTGAAAAAAAATGAAAAAAATGAAAAAAAAAAGGCAGATGTCTGAAAATCCACTCGGATCGTGGAGAGGATTTACAGAGTTTGGTCGGCAGCGAAAACAAATAAATGAGCAGAGCAATAAAGGGAGAGAGAAGCGGTGCCTATATCTTTAACCTGAGGGGAACAGCCAGACAATATGAGAGAATTTTCAGAGTGGAGAGCGTATAAAGAAGTAGATGAAGGAACTGAGCCGCAGCTGTAGAGGTGAAATGATAGAGAGCCATCCTAAGGAGGGAAAACGTCTGGAATGTGAAGACTGGACGCCTTAGTTTATAAATAGTTCATATCAGCAGAAAGCTCTTCACAATCTGTTAAAACACACCCGAAAACTGGGAGAGTGGTTTCCATGGCGCCAAATTAAAGGAACAGGACCACAGAGCGGAACAGAGATGGTACCAAATTGTTCTTATGAAATGCTTAAGAAAAAAAAAAGAAAAAAAACACCAGCTCAATCCTTTAAGCCTTATAGCCTTTATGGTGGCATAAACTGAACACATCTGAAATAAAAGACATGAGCAAAGCTGATTTGACGGGGACATAAAAAGAAAGTGAAGACTATACCGATTATCTGTTTAAGATCAGATTAACAGGAACTGAGTTCAGGGACTCAAACAGTTAATCCATTTTCTCCCACAAGAAAAGAAGCATTTTTATCACAGGAACCTTTCCAGGTATCGGTGAGAACAACCTTTACCTCCTCTATTTACTGTGTATCCAACAGAGCAGAAAGTTCATTAGCCCAGAAAAAGGCTTAAAGTGTTCAAAGTATTTTAGCCTGACTGCTTGGTTAAACCTCATCTCCAGTTCATAAATCAGAGCAGCTAAACTCCTCAGTTCAACTGGTACTGAAAGGTTTTTAACAAATTACATGCATTTCATTTATTGCCAAAGAACCAAGGTAATAAACTTTGACATCAAAATATATAACAAACAATAAGCTGAGAGCTTATTTCAGCCAAAGTTATAAAAAATTTAAATTTTTCCTTTGCTCTTTTTCATGAGCCAGTAGCATCTGCAGCGTTAGTTTTAATGCTCCAAAAACATTGAATGCTGCACACTTTAGAATAAAACCTGGCGGCATAGAAACATCCTCCAATGCCTAACTAGAGAGTTGATGTGCAGAATAGTGTTAGAGAGTATAAACATGCTACTTCCTTATATTAGGACTGGAGCATCAAGTCGTGCGTACCTGCTGCCATGCTGGTCCTGGCTGAACTCCATGATGTGGCCGGCGATATCTCGGAGCTGCAGGTTGGGGTATCGGTTGTTCCTGAAGTCCTCCAGCAGACGACTCCTTCCCGACGGCATCACGTCCGACATGCCGTAGCGTAGCCGTGAGGATGGAAACAGCTGGCTGCTCGGGGAAAAGAGGGAGGAGCCGGAGCTTGCAGCGTTGCGGTATTTGGCCTCGGCTCCGGGAGCGGCCGAGATGAAGCGGCCGCTACCGTTAGTCAAGCCACCTGTGGGTGAGAGGCAGTAAGGGTCATTATCAATTCCAAAAAGGCCTCACAAATGTTGGAGAGGATGAGGAGCAGTGGAAGCTGGAAACATTTACATATCTTCTGGAAATGTCCAAAAATACAGAAAGATCAGTCATGCCATATGTAATGTCTTAGAATGCAAAGTTCCAATGAGACCTGAAGTTCTTTACTTGTGTAAATTATCAGATGGAGTTGTTTATGACAATGATCATTACCTGGTTAATAGATTGTTGAAAGTGGCTCAAAAACTAAAGAACTGGAGGAAAGAAAAAGTTCCATCAAAGGATCACTGGACAGCTAAAGTGGAGAACATTTTTCTGATGGAAAAACTGAAACATGTTTCTACAGTGGGTAATGGTTCCTTCATGTCATTGACTTTCAACTTAATGCATATTAAATAGTGGAAACTCTATTTCATTTTTCCAGTTACACTGTTCTCAAAAGCGTTAGGGAAGCAAAGCCAGAAATTCACTGGGAAAAGAAAATCTTCATAAAAAGAGGATTTTTACTTTCCCTGTGGCTTCCAAACCATGGCTACCAAAACAAAATAAAACCTCCTACTGATCTATGTAGAAACCTTCTTTACTCTCCCCACAAGGGAGAAGCTGTTCAGACAGGTTTGTCAAAGTTTACATATAAATTAGGTGATGAATACAGGATGGAAATGCAGTGACAAATATGTTATACATTTATAAATGCAGATAAATTTCCAAAACGTCATATTATGTACCCCCTGAAACCAAGGATATTAAAGCTGCTACTTGGCAGCAATATAAAGTTGAAAAAAAGCTAAAGTTGGGCAGTCAGTCAGGGTGATAATTAGAGCATAATGAGGCTGTCAGTTAAACGGCAGATTAAAGATGACTGAATTACATTTTAATTTGTCACATATCAATCAGGAAACACACATGGGAACAAAACAAGTCTGAGAAGAAAAGCCCCACATATAATTGTCAGCTTGCAAAGATGGAGTTATTTTTGCATTTTTTATTAAATTCAAGGAAGAAAGGCGATCTGACAGAGATAATCTTTAAAGTAAAACCAATATATTTAACTAAGATAACAAAAACTGATTAGATTTGAGACTAGAAAAAACATTTGGAGAGAATATTATTTGTTTCAAAATAAATAAAAGACAAATTAACATTAGGAAAATTATCTCCCAGGAAAAAAAGTTCTCTCAAAATATATTTTTAATCTCAAATATGGTTTTTCTTTTTTTTTTGCAATTGGATCTTTCTCTCAATGTGAAGAATGCATCATGGGTGGGCCTTTGTTCCTATTGGCCAGTCTCAGCAGAACTGACAGCTTGTTGGTTATATAAGGTGCATTCAAAATGAGCAGCGTCTTACCTGAAATGCGAATAAGAGCTTACGGCTGTTGATGGGCGGAGCTAAAACTCTGCTACTCTATTTTACTTTCAAAATTATTTTCACCTCTCAGATTGCTTTTTTCTTGAGTTTGATAAATTCACAAAAAAAAAACTCCATTAGCAAATGGACAATGGATTATTTCAAAATTTGATCAACTCCATCATTAAAAGTAAAAAAAAAAAAAAAAAAAAGATCAGAGGCTAAAAATAGAACACGAACATTTAAATCAAAGGCATTTACCTAGATTGAGGTTGGATGAGGAGCTGTGATTAGACAGCGAGGGCGGGGGTGTGAGGGAGTGGGATGGCCCCTGGTTGGGTAGGGGCATACCCACAGGGCCCGGAGACGTACTGAACCCCAAAGTGCCGTTGTAGAAACCTCCATGACCGATGGGAGTTAAACTGGAGGGGGTGCGCTTGTACAGCTCGCTGTTTCCCGTCAGGGAGTCCCGCCTTGAACCACTGCCACCACTCGAGTTGGCCACTAGAGGGAGACAAAGAGATGTTTGTCAGCAAGATCTGTGCAGGGGTGGTGTGTGGTTTATGGAAGGGAAACATTTCAATGTAAACAAAGAAAATTAACAATTTTGACAATGGTCTGCAACAGGAAATAAAATAGCCTGGGATGAAAAATCTAATAAAAAAAATTAAGCTGTGTTTCCATTTATTAATTAGGCGCTTTTAAAATCAATGAAATTCTGAATTGAAATTAGATTAAATTCGAACATTTTGAATTGAAAAAGCTTCCTGGATGGAAGCGAAACATCTTCAAACTTGAAAACAAAATCCAGTGGATTGGTTTAAATGTAGAGGGTTAAATCTATCTTATCTAATCACTGTTTGTTGCATAAAAACCTAAAAAAGAATAAAAAAAAAGATACACTGAAGTTGGAGGCTGAATGTAAAAAAAGCTACATGTGCATGCAGTGTATTCTCACCAGCAGTACCAAAGCCTCCCAGTGTGGCTCCCAGAGTGGCCCCAAGGGAGGAAGAGGCAGGTTGGCTGAAGCCCAGAGAGGCCGACCCAGGTCCAGGCTGGGCTGAGCCCTGTGAGAAGAGAGAGGAGCTCTGAGAGGAGGAGCTGAGGGATGAGGATCCGTAGAAGGAGCTTCCTCCCAGAGCGCCGCCGGGGCCGCCCTGCTGCTGAGGCTGCTGGGATGTCATGGCACGAAACGGACCGTTAGCTCCTCCGCCCAAACCGCCATTGGCACCGCCGGCTGAAGCTGCTGCAGCTGCAACTGGAGGAGAAAAGTGAAGAGATATAAAATGAAGAGGAAGTGATACAAAGTTCAAAGATGACTTCATAGTTTATTTGTGTTGCTGTTTCATCGAGGGGCTGAGCTTTCAGGACTTATGGGAACTTTTTCTATGCCAATAATCCAGCAGGAAATAAAGTCACATAATCTTCCACTTTTCCCCTCAGGTTTAATTTAACGTTTCCCAACATGTTTATGAGCCCAAAATGGGATCTGTTGTTTTGTGTGCATACAGGTCTTTGATCACCACGACAACCAGTAGAGACAAGCTGAGCTAGTGTGATTAAAGTGAAATACTGCGCTACCTGCTTGTGCTGCAGAGGGGGATATGATGACAGAGGCAGGCGCCATAAGGCGGACAGGGCCGCTCCTGGCCCCAGTGTTGACCACCAGAGCTCCTGTCTGATCATAGTAGGCTGCAGGCGCCAAGACCGGATACCCTTTGAGAGAAATAAGAACAGTGACTTACCAAGGAATATATGTGCCACACAGCACCATGAGAGAAAAACATTTTTAAAGCCTGTTTCAACAATATATATAAAAAATAAAGTAGAAAAATCCAGTACTAACCTGGGACCCCTGCAGCTAACCCCTGCCCAAAGGCCAGGGCTGAGTTTACAGCTGCTGCAGCGACCAGCTGATCGTTCTGCTGTCCCTGCTGACCCTGGCTGGGGGTCAACGGACGCTGGTTTCCTCCAGCTCGCATCACCTTTACAAAATCAAAGAGGAAATGTCAACCAAGATAAAAAAAAAAATAAATGAATAAAACAGCAATTAAATTAAAAAAAAAAGCCTAAAGATTCAGTTAAGTGTATTGTATAAATGTGTTGATCAATATCCAATAAAATTAGACCAAAAGCTAATAATTATTGAGGGAAAAAAAAAAAAATCAGCCTCTTTAGGCCTGAAAAGTCAAAGCATGGCTGAACTTTAACCACTGAACAGCAGCTGTGACAGAAGCATCTGCAGTCTGGGGGATTTTGTTTGGCAGGTAGTCGACTGACCTGCTGCTGGCTCTGCTGGCCCTGTCCTGCTGCCTGCTGATTGGCTGAACTGTTGGCTGCAGCGGCCTGCTGCTGGAAAAGGTTGGCAGGATAGACACCCCAGGGGGTCACACCGTAGTACTGGGGAGGCATCACTGCAGGGCCTGAAGGCATAAAGGTGTGAGAGCTGTGAGGTCACCAGCGTCTCGGAATAACAAGATGTTTAAACAAATATCAAACCACCCATGGCTTACCGAGAGTAGCTGCCGCTGCCAGACCTGCTGCGTAAGGGTCTGTCCCGGGAGGGGCAGCGCTGATGATGTAAGGGTTGGGCACAAATGCTGGAGCAAGGCCTGCAGCAGAGAAATAAAAAGAGCAGCTCAGATCTCCGAAGAAAACGATTCTGATTGGAACAGCTGTAGTTTTTCCCAAAATGGATTTGACTTTAAGTGAAAATCTATTAATCACAATAAACCTTGTGTCTCAAAATGTTCAACCTTCACGCATAGGAAGGTTAAAACTAAAGCAAAGGGATAAAATACTGCTGGAAAAGGTCTCATCAAATCTACTGTGATATATGAACAACCGGTGAATAAATGTGAAATCAAGGCTCAGCTTTTTCTCTGACTTTTAAAGGCAGAAAACAGTCAAGCTGCTGTAAGTTTACCAGTTAACAAGGAGTAGGTGATGAGAACCAGGGCTTGGTTAATAATCGCAGTTCATCACAGAGGCGCTAAATTCTGGTCACATTACAATAAACTAGAGTACGACTGAATGACTTTCTCACTCCAGTGCTTTAGGGGGCAGCGATATGATTCAAGTGAGTTTGTGCCCCTCAGACGGGAAGATAGAGTAGAGGTTAACACTTTTCCATTCAGCAGTAACAGATTCATTCTAAGAAAATGGACAAGTACGCTTTCAAATCATGAAACTATGAAATCCTGGAGTCAAACATCTGCATGGTTGTTGTTAGAGCAAAAGAAAATCAGAATAAAATCTCAACATTGGTTAAACTGTTATAAAATAAAACAAGACGTACCAATGTGGGGCTGCTGAGCGGCTGCCAACGCATACTGCTGCTGCTGAGCTGCTGTTAACTGCTGCACAGCCAGAGCATTGTTTCTCTGGAAAAGCTGTAAACAGAACCACAGATTAATGTCGTCATGGAGAACTTCTAGGATGAATTTGTACCGCTAGCTCCGCCCTCGTTGGTTACCTGCTGCTGGTTAGCGTAATCAAACAGACCCACAGTGGGCGCCGAGTCCATCTGCATCTGGGAGTTGTAGTCAAACTGAAGCGGCTCCATTACCGATTCCATGGCGTCCATTGTAACGCCACCTTGATCCACTCCAGAGAAATCATCAGGGGGTTTGGGGCCTCCGCTGCCGCCGAGAGGTGTCAGGCCGTCAGGCCCCACCCCTCCAGGGCCCCCCAGCAGGTCGCCCTCGGGGCCGGGTGGAGGCATGTTTCCAGGGGGACGCCTGCAGGGATAGATGGGGTCAGTTTCCATGTGCAGGAGGTCAGACTAGCAAACATCTGTGGAATGACCGCTCTCTCTCACCCAAACTCCTTCACATCGACATCGAGGCCGTTCTGTACGGGCAGCCCGTTTGGGTTGATGACGTCATTGATCACGTCACTTTCACCTTCTGTTAACTCTTTCAGTTTCTCTCCTTCAAACGCCGTCTTCGGCTTCTCCCTCTTCTCCTCCTCTACTTCTCCATCCCTCTGTCCCTGCAATGCAAATAAAAAAAATATATATATAAAATATGACAGCACAATAATACACAAAACAAAGCTACAGCGACAATGCATGAAATAAATCCCTGTTTAAATAAAACCGACTCACATATGGTCCTTTTCTGAGGCAAGGATCCAGTTTATCAGCTGGTGAGGAGGACAGAACATACTCCACCATGCTCACTCCAAGCCCCCCACTTTCAGAACGCGGTGACATCACTGAGCCCACCCCAACTTCACCTCCACCATGGAAACCCTGAACCGGCCGACGGGACACCATGATCGGCTGAGACACGGAGTGATCTGTCATAAAAGGGACATAGATGAAGGGTTAATAGAGGATAAGGGAAATGCTGCAGCTAGAACAAAAACATTTCAGGAAGGCTGCAGAATATGCCGAGTCCAGCATCTAGGATCTAATCCTTTCTGTTTAAATATGATTTAGTATCTAACTAAACAAGCAGGACAACCAAAGAACACCAGAGGAGCCACATTGTAGTAGAGTCCCAATGTTTAATGTATAATTTAATCATTCTGTATAAAGCTTTTTAAAGTTTCAGTCTTTATAAAAACTAACTTCAGAGGAGATCAAAAAATGTTCTCATAGACAGTTGTTTACTAAAACTTAGGGGAAGGATGTTTTTGGTGTGATGTCACTGAGCTTCAAAGGTAATCAGAAAAACTTTTAGTGATTTTACAGAAATAACTATGCTCAGCTGAAGGGAAACAGCAGGATTTGGCTTGATTTTGCTTTGATAACAGCTTTTATTCAGACAGGGATCTAAAAATAAACCCTTAGAGGTGGTTTCTAGATATTGGACAGATACCTTGCTTTAATCACAGCCCTTTGTTCTTTGCTGCATTAAAAAAAGGACAACCAGTCAAACCTGAGGCACCCCATGCACTGTCCCTCCACTGGTCCAAGAAGATCCCTTTTGGTCCATCTTTCCCAGAGTCATCCGCCTCCCAGAACTTCTTCCCGGGTAGGAGTTGCTGTAGAGACACAAGGAAACACAAAGGATGAAAAAAAAATAATAAATTCAAGAAGAAATGTCCAAAAAACACAGTGAAGGGAAATGTTTTATAATGTGAAATTTTTGATGTAGACAAAATGTTAACATTTAGAGGAATCCCTTTGCCTGAGAAGCTGCAGGAGCCAAAGAAACCCCAGGCTGATTTTCCTGGATGAATTCCCACAACATACGAGGTGAAGCTGAGGTAGAGCAGCCATGAAACGGGCAGGGCTCTACGCTTTCATGATAAAGGTTGTGTTTGACTCAGCATTTGGAATCTGGCATTGAACCAGCAGCTCGTTTAGATTCCTGTTTTTTTTTATCTTTCTTTCAGTAAACAGTGAGAAAAGACTATCTGTGAAAAATGTTGTGATCTGATCAAAATAACAAATTTCCTTCCCTTTACAAGCATTTGTAATCATTAAAAGTGCTACTTATAGCCCGTGTTAATTTTTAGCTGAACTAAATCCCAAATAAATGCTTTCAAACTAATAATCTTTTCATTTCTTGAACTTCTATTGGATTTCATTCAACGTCGAACCACCTTTATGCTCAGAAATTGCATGCAACATTAACACTAATCAGTCCTTTCTAGGCCAAACTAAACATATTCTCATTAGTAAACATACAGATCCTTCTAGCTCACTGTCCGTGCTCACCTCTCCCATAGCTCGCCCCTCCAAAGCCAGAGCCTGAAAATCATGGTTCAGCTCATCCATCGACCGCACCTAAACGTCATAAGAAGCCACAAGGAGTCAAAACAGCAGAAATCTGCACCTTTATACTTAACCAACATGTAGAAACAAGTTGTAAATCAGTGTCTTAGTAGCAGATATATTTTTGCCACATTAGTTGAATTAAATTTATTGGTATCTATGTGAGGCTGCAATTCTGGAATAATTGGAATAATTTCTGTTTAAAATAAAAAGCCCCTTAATTGTGTCATCTTATTTATGTTTTACATTTGTGAAGAGGTTTTTTGGCACAGCAGCACATGCCTACTCGTACGTTATCCATATGTTGTGAATACCTGACTGTCGTGGATGTTGTCTCCAGTGGGCCAGCGGTGTTTGCCCGGTTGTTCGCCGTGTTGCCGCTGGAAGAAATAATCTACCATGGCATCATCCTGGGAGCGTCCAGCTCCTGCCACACCCTTGGGTTCAAACACAAACAGATTACGCTACGGCTAGGAAGAACGAATAGTCTGAAAAGGCCACGATGATATTACCAGCCTGTAGAGGACTGTGATAAAACTGATAGGAAACCTGAGCTTCTGCACATGCAAACTTGCAAAATAAGCTTTTCCAGATGGAATCAAAAATTATAATAAGCTAGATTTAAACAAAATGTGTTGTGGCACCAGAGTTGTAGTGGAACAACATTTGTAACAGCAAGACAAGAGGAAAAAACGTAACAGTTAGGGGTTTCTTTTACCTCCCACCAGCTAATTTCCGTTTTGTTTTATCATAACATACATCTAATTATGCAATCTTATTCATAATCAAAGAATCAGTCCGAGAAAAAATTGTGCTTCCGGTTCCTGGAAAGAGACAGCCGTTTTGAACAGTAAATGAAGAGGGGGAATTAAACAGAGGTTTTCATTTATGCATCAAAATATCAGACACTAGCATTCCTCTGGTTCACGGAACCTGAAAACAAACAACGAAAAAGTCTTCGACTTTATGCATTTTTGATAAAACTATTCAAGGAGAGTTTTAAGTTTTCATACATTTCCTAAATGCCCCCAACTTCATGCAAGCTGCACTCTGACTAGTTACTATTAAAGCGTCATATCTTAATTTTACTTCCTAGAAATGTTCTGAAACAATGTTGCAAAAATGTGAGGATTGTACTCACTTTTGAGAAATAATGTACACTCAAACCTTTTCCACTAGTGGGAAAGGTGATTTCCTTGCTGACTAATTCTGGAAATAATCACAAAAATCCCCCCGAGAAAAACCCCCAAAAAGATTTCTGCAAACACAGTAATGTTAGTCAAACTGCACTGGCAATACATGACTACTTCACCGACACAGAAATCTTGTTATAAATGTGACTAAACTTGAACTAACTATTAATCCATCAGATTAATAGTTACTGAAAGTGCTCATTTTATTAGCCTACAAACAAAAAAGAAAACTCAAAGAAAAAATTAATCCAAAAATCTTGCTTTTAAGCTATTTTTCTTGTCTGTATATCTGTTCTACCCACAGCTCTTTAAGTGGTACATTTTTAACTTGGTTCAAACACTGGAAAAAAATCTTACAGCCTTTCTTATCATTAAACAGTTTCTGCAAGGACATGGACACTTACACTTAGGGATGCACGATATTGGGATTTTGGCCGATATCCGATATGCCGATATTTTAAAACTCATGCAGCCGATAACCGATATCGATACCGATGTTAAAGCTGGACAAAAATAAGTAGTCATTGAAAATAGCTGTTTTGTTATCCATTTCTGACACTTTGAAAAATAATATACTCAAATATTTTTTCATATGCTGATATCAAATTGATTTTTAAAAACGCGGTATCGATCTATTTTACTTTCAAAATCTCGTGAAATTTCATCGTTCTGTTACAAACTCTCGTGATATTTTGCAAATTCTTGTGAGATTTTGTTAGTAAAATAGATCGATACCGCGTCAATATATCAACAGATAAAAATATGGCAAAATTTCTTGAATTTTCGGGGGATTCCGTAGCATAACGATGACATATAGCAATATTTCATTAGTAAAAGAGATTGATATGGTGTTTTTAAATGGCAATATATCAGCATATGAAGATATTGTGATATTTTAATGTATCAATATTTTTTCCCTCGTCTTTAGAAGTTTTTAAGTCTGTAAAAAAGAAGTTTTTGAGGAAGAAGTAGAAGTAGTATTTTTTATTTTTTTTAGACTTTAGAAACTCAGAAGCTGATCAAATATCGGGTTAAATATCGGTGGGGTGGCCGATGTCCGATATTCAGTTTAAAGGCCGATACAGGCCGATACCGATAGGGGGCCGATTATATCATGCATCCCTACTTACACTGAGTGGAATCTGGTCTACTGTTGTGCCGAACTGGGATTTACTAAAAGTATATCTCTTAGATTGCTGCATTCTTAAACTAAAATTGTTGAATGTAAAAAAAAAAAAAAAATAAAATAAAGAACTTAAGCTCCTTCCTAGGAAATCCCCTGGAAGCTTTAAACCAATTTTAACCATGCATTTAGAACAATCCATGTTGAAGCTGAGAAAACATGGGAACCAGCTCTATGATTATCAACTAAATGAGTTATTTTTAACATTTTGTTTTTTTTGTTTGTTTTTCTTTCATTTTGGTGCGCTAACTAGCCTGTCTGGCCACACTTAACTATTGTAACTAAATGGCAGCAACCAAATTAACTTGTGGAAAATACATATGCAACTGCTGGATTATTCACGTCTGAGTGAAATAATACAGCCACAACTACGACGGCTCACCATTAAATAGCTTTTTTTATTTTGACAGTAAAGAAAATAACACGTTTTACAGCATCAACTATAAATAAGTCTCTCTATAAGCAGACTTTTTTATGTTTGTACTAAAGCAGTTTAGATGAAGCATCTTAAATTGACAAACACAAAGCCTGCTTCCCATTCAGACACAATGAGTACATAATTACACATTTTCTGCAACATAATTCTTCAGTTTCATTAGAAACATAATTCATCTTCAGGCTTAGTAATAATCAGACATATTGAACATGAAGATCTGAATTCATTCCTTAAACTTTTTGATTAATTCCAGTTTCATTCAATAGAGAGAAAAAAAAAGCTATGCCTGCTCTGGAACCAAACTGGTGATGCAACATAAATAGGATGAAGTGGATCTGCTAAGTTTATATCTAATCAATCAGTTCAATCTGTGTCGGCTCAGAAAGGAGAATGAAGCTGCTCGATCCACCAAGT